AATCAATCAAGAACTGAAATGATTTATCAAATCTTTCCAATGATTGCTAAGATAGAATCCATCTTCTCGGTTGAAATTGTCTCTATGCTTGTATATGTGGATAGCCTCATGAACGAATCTCTCATGGAAGCCAGATGGCTTACAAAGAACCTCCGTCTTGGAAAAGTCAATGGCATGTGAGCCTACTGAATTAGAACAATGATCTGCTACGGCCGAGGTGTTGGTCCTACCGTGTTTAAGGTCTGCTTTATGTTCACGAATGCGGTCCGAGATATGGCGTTTGGTTTCTCCAATGTAACTACTACCACAGAGGCAACTTAGTTTGTAGACACCAGGGTATTGTATGTCCGGAATCACATCTTTTACAGACGGAACCAGATCACGGATTTTATGTAATGTGTTGAAACGGACCTGGATCTTGTGTTTATTCAAGATTTTGGAGATCTTTTTGTGATCCCAGCAATGTAGGGTAAAGTGATGGTTTTGAAAGGCTCCTCAAGAGGGTTCTTCTTCATGGTTTGAGTGATAGCTTTGCGGATTGTATAGTCGGAGTAACCATTAGCCCTAAGAGCTTGGTGTACGTGCTTGAGTTCACTGCTTATGTGTTCCTGGTCGGATATGCATTGGGCTCTATGATACAGAGTCTTGATGAGAGAATTCTTCTGTGATGGATGGTGGTGGGAATCCGGTTTCAGATAAGCATCCGTATGGGTAGCTTTCCTGTAGACAGAGTGGCTCATTGAACCATCAGGTCTCTTTTTAATTAGGACATCCAAAAAAGGTATCTTGCCATCTATTTCGACTTCCATGGTAAATCTGATGGCTGGGTGTATGGAATTGATGTGGTCGAAGAATTGGTCTAGAGCAGGCCGGCCATGTGGCCAGATGACAAAAGTGTCATCCACGTACCTCTTCCATAAGGTTGGGCGCAGAGTGGCAGTCTGGATGGCGTCAGTCTCAAATTTCTCCATGAAAATGTTAGCTATAACTGGAGAAAGGGGGGAGCCCATTGGGGTGCCCTCAGTTTGTTTGTAGAAAGTTCCATTCCAAGTGAAGTATGTATTGGTTAAACAGTGTCTCACCAGGGGGGGTACCTCAGTGTTTAGTCCTTGATGAACCAAGTCTTCAATGATTGCAATGGTGTCAGGTACAGGAACCTTGGTGAATAAGGAAACTACATCAAAACTGACAAGCAGGTAGTCTGGGGACAGGGAAATACCCTTGATTGTTGATACCAGGTGAGTAGAATTTTGTACCGCAGAGGTGGTCTTTCCAGTGAAAGGACGCAGGATTTCAGACAAAAAACGAGCTAGTTTGTAGGTGGGGGAGCTGATAGTAGAGACTATGGGACGAAGAGGTGTATCAACTTTATGTATTTTTGGTAAGCCGTATAATCTTGGTGGCCTGGCAGCAGAAGGTTTCAACGAAAACTGTTTAGATTGATCAATTAATGCGGTTGAATCAGAAATTATTTTGTTGGTTTGTGTGACGAGGCTGTTGGTGGGATCTCTTTTTATTTTTGTATAACTACCATCGTCGAGTAATTCTTTAATTTTGTTGTTGTATTCTATTTTATCCATGATGACAGTAGCATTGCCTTTGTCAGCTGAGAGAACTACAATATCATTCCTCTTTTTTAATTTATATAATTCAAAACGCTCATCTTTGCTGAGGTTGCTAGCTGGCATCTTAGCGTTTTTGAGGGTTGCAGCGATTTCAGATCTTGCTACGTCTGCAGCGATGTGACCCAGGCCCCTGAGAGCAACGTCTACTTGGGCAATTATATCATTAACTGGTATGTGTTTAGGTGTGACTGCAAAGTTTAGACCTTTAGCTAAAACGGATTTCAGACCATCGGAAATAGAACTGTTACTGCGATTAATTACGACTTTATTAACGTCTAACTTTTTGGTGTGTGGGTCCGGTCTTTTGTTGAAGAGGAGGTTAAATTTGGAAATCAGGTTTTCCTTACATTTGGTCGACATAGTAGCAGCTGAAGAGGCAGTCATATTGTCTACATGTTCCCAATCCGATGTGGACATTATTGCCGTCAATGATAAGTGTGATTTGTAGAGTGTCTTGTCTAACTGATCTAGTTCTGTGCGTATAAGTCTGATTTTTTCTGAGATAAGAGCTAAGCTAGTTTTGAAAAGAATTCGTTTCGCATTAGAAGAAGTTACAGTAGCAGAGGTGAGTGTAAATGCGATTGGTATTACCCCAGAGTCGCGGCATCTCTTCAGGAAGGTGAGAGACTCGATCAGCTGAGCTTTCTTATCCCGGAGTTTGTTGAAGGATCTTAAAGTTATGTGAAAACCCTCCCCGTAGAGGCGATTCAATTTTGATTTAAAGCTTTCGTGACTGCAGTTTTCCAAATGTAAGGAAAACCTGATTTCCAAATTTAACCTCCTCTTCAACAAAAGACCGGACCCACACACCAAAAAGTTAGACGTTAATAAAGTCGTAATTAATCGCAGTAACAGTTCTATTTCCGATGGTCTGAAATCCGTTTTAGCTAAAGGTCTAAACTTTGCAGTCACACCTAAACACATACCAGTTAATGATATAATTGCCCAAGTAGACGTTGCTCTCAGGGGCCTGGGTCACATCGCTGCAGACGTAGCAAGATCTGAAATCGCTGCAACCCTCAAAAACGCTAAGATGCCAGCTAGCAACCTCAGCAAAGATGAGCGTTTTGAATTATATAAATTAAAAAAGAGGAATGATATTGTAGTTCTCTCAGCTGACAAAGGCAATGCTACTGTCATCATGGATAAAATAGAATACAACAACAAAATTAAAGAATTACTCGACGATGGTAGTTATACAAAAATAAAAAGAGATCCCACCAACAGCCTCGTCACACAAACCAACAAAATAATTTCTGATTCAACCGCATTAATTGATCAATCTAAACAGTTTTCGTTGAAACCTTCTGCTGCCAGGCCACCAAGATTATACGGCTTACCAAAAATACATAAAGTTGATACACCTCTTTGTCCCATAGTCTCTACTATCAGCTCCCCCACCTACAAACTAGCTCGTTTTTTGTCTGAAATCCTGCGTCCTTTCACTGGAAAGACCACCTCTGCGGTACAAAATTCTACTCACCTGGTATCAACAATCAAGGGTATTTCCCTGTCCCCAGACGACCTGCTTGTCAGTTTTGATGTAGTTTCCTTATTCACCAAGGTTCCTGTACCTGACACCATTGCAATCATTGAAGACTTGGTTCATCAAGGACTAAACACTGAGGTACCCCCCCTGGTGAGACACTGTTTAACCAATACATACTTCACTTGGAATGGAACTTTCTACAAACAAACTGAGGGCACCCCAATGGGCTCCCCCCTTTCTCCAGTTATAGCTAACATTTTCATGGAGAAATTTGAGACTGACGCCATCCAGACTACCACTCTGCGCCCAACCTTATGGAAGAGGTACGTGGATGACACTTTTGTCATCTGGCCACATGGCCGGCCTGCTCTAGACCAATTCTTCGACCACATCAATTCCATACACCCAGCCATCAGATTTACCATGGAAGTCGAAATAGATGGCAAGATACCTTTTTTGGATGTCCTAATTAAAAAGAGACCTGATGGTTCAATGAGCCACTCTGTCTACAGGAAAGCTACCCATACGGATGCTTATCTGAAACCGGATTCCCACCACCATCCATCACAGAAGAATTCTCTCATCAAGACTCTGTATCATAGAGCCCAATGCATATCCGACCAGGAACACATAAGCAGTGAACTCAAGCACGTACACCAAGCTCTTAGGGCTAATGGTTACTCCGACTATACAATCCGCAAAGCTATCACTCAAACCATGAAGAAGAACCCTCTTGAGGAGCCTTTCAAAACCATCACTTTACCCTACATTGCTGGGATCACAAAAAAAAAAGATCTCCAAAATCTTGAATAAACACAAGATCCAGGTCCGTTTCAACACATTACATAAAATCCGTGATCTGGTTCCGTCTGTAAAAGATGTGATTCCGGACATACAATACCCTGGTGTCTACAAACTAAGTTGCCTCTGTGGTAGTAGTTACATTGGAGAAACCAAACGCCATATCTCGGACCGCATTCGTGAACATAAAGCAGACCTTAAACACGGTAGGACCAACACCTCGGCCGTAGCAGATCATTGTTCTAATTCAGTAGGCTCACATGCCATTGACTTTTCCAAGATGGAGGTTCTTTGTAAGCCATCTGGCTTCCATGAGAGATTCGTTCATGAGGCTATCCACATATACAAGCATAGAGACAATTTCAACCGAGAAGATGGATTCTATCTTAGCAATCATTGGAAAGATTTGATAAATCATTTCAGTTCTTGATTGATTGTTCACGCTTACAGTGGCTTTCAGACAGCATACATAAAAACAAATTTCGTCTCCCCCCTCCTCTTTTCAAAAAAAAAAAAATAGATGGACTAGTCCTGGGCAAACTGCCAATCGTTGCGCGTGACGCAAACGTTATTTTTTTATATATATAAATAAATAAATATGCCGTTTTCAAAATAAATTTATGCAAACCGACACACCTGATGATGACCGTTTGAGTTATGGTCGAAACGTCGTGAGAATTTTTTATTGTTTTATATATATTTTGTTATTTTGTTGTTTCTCTTCAACGTGACTTTACCGAAAAAACTAAGAATATGATCCCTTGTATAAAGGTGTTAGTTTTGGTTCCAGATAAAAGGGTTAAAACCTATTACTATATCTTGCTACTGGCAAAGGAGGTCTCATAGTGTGCAAAGATTGCATTAGATCAAAAGCAGTTGATATGCTGTAATGTTTATTTAAAAAAAAAAATTACCAGTGCTCACTGTTCGCTTTTCAAACTCAGTGGAGTTAGAGTGTAAGTGCATGATAATTTCAGTGACCGATGCGGATATTGGCTGTGTCCACGCCTTGATAGTTCAGTGCAAATGAAAGTTGGTTCTTGAGATCAATTAGTCAGGATGCAGTAGAGGAGATTTAGGCTCACCAGATATCCGGGGAGACAATAACATAGGTATCCCAGTTCATTTTTGCCCTCCTGACACACGCCATTAACACAGGGATTGGTGAGACACTCATCTGCATCCACTTCACAGCGATCGCCAGAAAATCCTGGCAGGGAAGGTTGGTGGACAAACAGATCGAAAGTATGCCATAAAAATGTTAATGGTACTTCAAAACATTTTGCGACTTGGCTATAGAAAATCGTATCCTCATATCGGATTTAATGTTGTTTTTTATTTTATAACCCCTTATCTGTAGCAAATAGAAGCATATGTCGTGCTATAAACATACCACAATTCCCTTTATAGGAATAAATAGCATTCCCATAGCCATCGCCTAAAATGTAATAACACATTTGAAAGGAAATGAAATAACGCCGTTGCAATTTTAAATTATTCTCTTTTTTGCAAGCATGCGCAGCATAACACTGGGGGCATTGTAAAACATTCACATATGACCAAGGAAATAACACAATTGAAGACGCAGCAATGAACTGGTTTTAAAATTATGGTTTAATGTTACACTTAGACATATAAATGTTTACCATTCAATTTTTTATTGACTAAATATATTTTATACTAACCATAGCTTTTTCCCCAAAATACAGTGCAAAATGCATTGTTATGGGTGTTGAGAAACTCATGAGCAAATGAAACGTGCTTCAAGTTAAGATATCAATGATAATAGTAATGTGAATTTATAAGGCGCATATAATCTGCAGATCCCAATTCACCATCCATATATCATCATGGTCAACGGCGTTACTGCCACAACATCTCCATCTCCAGCTGTTTCATTTGACCTCTAAGGTCTCCTCTTACTGTATCCCACTTTCTGGTTTTAGATTTTCCCCTTGGTCACTGACCTCTGGGTGATTTCGGTCAAATGTGGACATAGTGATGGACTTATATTTAAGCAGTAAGGTCCATAATACAATGGGGGGGGGGGGTATGTATTGTGTTTCGTTTTTGAAAGAAAACCAAACAACTTTTCAAGGTCGTGGTGTCAACATTTTGTGCGCTTTTTTGTTACTTGAGAAGAACATTTCACCAATGTTATCTTGATTCTGCTGTCATTGTCACGTCATGAATAGGACGCATTCCCCCCAGATCTCTCGCAGAGCAACGCATCCCTTGGTGTAAGAGAATGGCCCATGGAAGCGGATATCACAGAGCTACCTCTGAGATCCCTTCCAGTGAAAATGTTGTATTTAAAAATGAGTGTTTCACGCAGGAATAATACCAATGATAACGTACGTCTAATCACCTTGCTAATAACAACATGCTGCACCATATATTCATTTTAGGCTATGCCAACCTAAAGGGAATGGCCAAGTCAGGCCAGATTTAGCTACACTTACACATGCTCACATATCCATGCTGCTTAATGTTTTCGTACAGTGCTGTGGTACTGTTAGAAAACCGAATAACATACTTTTTTTTCAGAAGACCCAGGACTCGTACATTCTCATTAGAGCAATAGCATATGTTCACCACTGCCAAACAGTCATCTCTATCAGAGGCAGGTTTAGCACTGTCTGTTATTTAGTGCTGCTCTTTCGACATGCCTCCTGGAATGTCCTTCTTGGATTTGTAGAGGCACCAATAAAAATGCTCCATTAATTCCACCCCCCCCCCACCCCACTTAAGCTGCATGTTAACATGCACAAGCTGGGCACTTTCCAATTCAGGCCCATGCCACCTATTTATTATGGGTGGTTAATTTGGCTGTGGCACTGGCATGGAGTAACTGACCCTTACGAGTGCCATGAGATGCTTTAGAGTCCATGAGCAAGCAGACCGTGTGCTTTTCGACATTGTGTGGTCATCAATGCATCGTAGCCAAGATAAACTGCGGTGAACAGCAGAGACATTTTCAAATGATGAATAACTGCGCCATTTATGTTGCATATAAGCTGGATACTTTTAGATCGAAGTAGAAGCTTCTCTGAAATCAATGGGCCCTGACCATAGCAATGTGGAATTTCCACCTCTGGCTCAGGGCCATCAACAGTGCGGGAACACTTAGAATTGTTTTTCGTTAACAGTAAGGTACGTATATGATTATTACTAAATAATACATCAGCAAATAGCATTTTAATTACAAGACTTGGCTCACAATTAAAATTATGGTCAGGAATTAACTCAGTCCATCATTGCTACAGAGTAAAAAAAATAACTACTATGTGGGACATAAATAATTACCACCTTGAGTCTCTATACAATTTTTTCAGGAGGATATTGCATTGAGATGTTTAGCCGGTTCGTCAGCAAACATAGTATCCGGAGAAAACATACACATACGATGAGAAGGACAACGCTAAAATATCCACGCAGATTTAAAACGTGTATTGCCATGATGCCATCTCATGGCCACCTCGCAGCCCTTGCTTACAACACCTGGTATTCCCAGGTTAGTGTCCCATACAATTACTACACGGGCTCAACCTGCCCAGCTTCAGAAAGCCACCGAGATTGAGTGCATTCAGGGTGATTTTGTAGCAGGAAAATATATTGACTTTCAGTGACCCCACCATACTGTGTGAATGCCCACGCTGTGCACATTTACTCACCAATGGCACACACGCATGTAAATCCATTCACCAGGTCACGACACGTGGCTCCGTTTTCACAAGGGCTGGACTCGCACTCATGGGTCTCCAACTCACAATGAGTGCCCACGTACCCAGGCAAACATCTTAAACAAAAATAAGAACACAAGCCATTGAAAATCAATATCTATTTTACAAGCAAAGCAAGGTCAAGATGTCTGGTACTAGCACAGGATTAGTTGGCATTTTACAGGATATGTAATTATCCTGTTTTGTAATTTGTTGCAGGAATTAATGAGTGGCTAAAGTGATCAAACCGTTTACAAAAGCCTCTTGAAGCCAGACTCGAGTAAACTGCAATTCAGGTTAAGCCACAAGACTATTCTTGGAAACATAAATGCATTATTATTTATAATAAATAAGTACATAAGCAAATTTAAAAAAAAAAACGTAAACTTAAACAATGTTCGCACTTGAACACCATGCGAGGCAGGGGATGGCTTGCATGTGCGCATTAGCAATTTTACGTCTCGTGTGAAACTGGACAAATACATTCACGTAACTCTAAAAAAATTGATAAAGTCTTCAAGCACGTCATAAATATCTGTTCAGCCTTCTACATCCAGTGAATCGCAGCCTTTGCCCCTCGACTTCATGATAATAGTGACTCAGCTTAAACTGTACATTAGCGATGTAAGTGTTATCACGTTGTAAATATTACAATGTAAATATTTAGTTAATAAGTAATGCATGTTAAATAAATGTCTTGGCAATTAATTGCACGCAATATTATTCAATGCTCGTATTTTATATTCGTTAATTATTTGCAGTGCGCCAGACATGCCCACGAACTGCAAGGGCTCTCTCCCCGATGTATTCGTCTTCAACGAGTTATTCTGCACTTCTCTGAAACATGTTGAAATGCATAGGCACACAACTATAATTAATTATAATGAATAGTGCATAATAATGGATAATATTCTTGTGTATGGGAAATATGTTCAGGAGCTAAATGCCAATGGATATCTCGATTCTAATTAATGACGATCATTAATTTGATAATAATACCTTCATGGGATATAGCGTCATGCATGATAATAGCATCCCACAACGCTGTACCTTAATTATATATAAGGACCAAATTCCATATACAGCCACTACAAAGCAAAGTAAACATTGATGACAGTATTATTAATCGTGTTTAGCGTGACACGGAAATGCATTTAGAATATTTTTAGAATCAGAATATGTATTTATAGTGGAGGAATCCGATTATCTATAAAGCTCTTTTTTCACAGATGTCCAGTCGGGCGGGTAAGAACGTTACAGCAACTGACGATACAAAAACACGATGGGAGTGCAATGTACAAGAAAGGTAAACAGGTGGAGCCAACGGCGAGAAGGCTGAGAATGAATTAACAATTATTGTTATATTCTTGGTTCTTTCGGTAAAGTCACGTGAAGAAGGACGCTTGTGTTGCACCCGAAACGTCGTGATTCAATTTAATTTTCATTTATTTGATTTATTATTATTTTTACCTACACGACTTTACCGAAAAAAACAGAGTACCACGTAGAAGGGAAACAATAAAATGATAAAAATATAAAGCAATAAAATTCTCACGACGTTTCGACTGCAACACAAGCAATCATCATCTTGCTGTGGTTTTCACATCTGACGATGATTGCTTGTGTTGCAGTCGAAACGTCGGGAGAATTTTATTGTTTTTTTATTTTTATTATTGTATTGTTTCCCTTCTACGTGACTTTACCGAAAGAACCAAGAATATGAATCCCTGCAATCACGAAAGCTTTAAATCAAAATTATTGTTATAGTTAACATTCATTAACATGATTGGTATTTGAGTTTACTCATTACTTTGGAAGTTACTCCAAGCATAGTTAATTCAAATTGGATTATAATTTACTGGAGCTGTGACATGTTCTCATAACTAACGCTTTTCTGTACAATTGTTTTATTTTTAATGGATGATATCTGTGAGTTTCACGCCTCCTATTAGCACGGTTGGCTATGCACGGTGCAAAAGAAGTTTAACACACTTACGTTCAGCAGAGTGACAATGCATTGGTTAGTGTACCACTCGGTGAATACCTGAGTTTGATTCCTGGCCATGGCTAACATCAGGGGCAAGTAACCAATCATGCGGTCCCACCGTTTCACCAACCCACACTGACCAGCATGGGGAAGTATGGCCACATAACCCCCATGACCGACACACTTCTAGGAGGCCTTTGTTCAGCAAGGTTGTGAAATGTTATTTCGATGTATGATTGTGTCTTTTATCAAATCAATATGTACGATATAAATGTGCTTATTTGGATGTTTTTAAAATGTATTCACTGTTTTATTTGACCACTAATAGCTTAAATTTTTTACTAAATATGTAACGTTTATCTTTTGAAATGCATTTCCTTTCATATTCCCTGGGTGTCCCTCCCTAGTAGAAGAGAATGGTCTCGATGGGCACTCACCTTGCTATAAATAAAGCATAATTTGCATGAACATATATGCTACATATTAAAAATGCAGTTGCTTCAATATGTTCCAGAGCACCATTTGGTTTTATGAGCCGAAGCAATACTCCCTGAAAATTTATCATTCTAATAATTGAAAGCAAACAGAATTTATCAACTGTAGACAATCTAGCCTGGTACTAACAAAATAAAATATAATTTTAATTCAAAGCATTTTCTACAAACACACTCTAACATTTTGGTGTTTTCTTAGGTGCACACAAAGCTTTTGACGATGCTGAAATGAAATATGCCAGCCACATCTCTGCGAAGGATTCTAATCTGGAAGTGCATTTTATTGCTAACCTGTTTCTGAAAGCACTTACAAAATGTATTATCGGGCCTGCAGAATCGTAGTACGGATAAAATTACTTGTTATATTCCATTATTTATATACTTCTTAGCTTCGAAATTTTTCCATATTTTGAGCATAATCATCATCATTGCGTGATGAAATATGGAGCCAATCAAGCACGATGTCTTACATTTCTTGCAGCAATTTGCTAATATATAAACCAAATGCATATGCAATCAATACCAATTAAATAAATAATGCTGCAGTTTAACATGTACAGTGAGGAAAAAAAGTATTTGATCCCCAACTGATTTTGTACGTTTGCCCACTGACAAAGAAATTATCAGTCTATAATTTTAATGGTAGGTTTATTTTGACAGTGAGAGACAGAATAACAACAAAAAAATCCAGAAAAACGCATGTCAAAAATGTTATCAATTGATTGGCATTTTAATGAGGGAAATAAGTATTTGACCCCTCTGCAAAACATGACTTAGTACTTGGTGGCAAAACCCTTGTTGGCAATCACAGAGATCAGACGTTTCTTGTAGTTGGCCACCAGGTTTGCACACATCTCAGGAGGGATTTTATCCCACTCCTCTTTGCAGATCTTCTCCAAGTCATTAAGGTTTGGCAACTCGAACCTTCAGCTCCCTCCACAGATTTTCTATGGGATTAAGGTCTGGAGACTGGCTAGGCCACTCCAGGACCTTAATGTGCTTCTTCTTGAGCCACTCCTTTATTGCCTTGGCCGTGTGTTTTGGGTCATTGTCATGCTGGAATACCCATCCACGACCCATTTTCAATGCCCTGGCTGAGGGAAGGAGGTTCTCACCCAAGTTTGAGGGTACATGGCCCCGTCCATTGTCCCTTTGATGTGGTGAAGTTGTCCTGTCCCCTTAGCAGAAAACACCCCCAAAGCATAACGTTTCCACCTTCATGTTTGACGGTGGGGATGGTGTTCTTGGGGTCATAGGCAGCATTCCTCCTCCTCCAAACACGGCGAGTTGAGTTGATCCCAAAGAGCTCCATTTTGGTCTCATCTGACCACAACACTTTCACCCTGTTGTCCTCTGAATCATTCAGATGTTCATTGGCAAACTTCAGCCGGGCATGTATATGTGCTTTCTTGAGCAGGGGGACCTTGCGGGCGCTGCAGGATTTCAGTCCTTCACGGCGTAGTGTGTTACCAATTGTTTTCTTGGTGACTATGGTCCCAGCTGCCTTGAGATCATTGACAAGATCCTCCCGTGTAGTTCTGGGCTGATTCCTCACCGTTTTCATGATCATTGCAACTCCACGAGGTGAGATCTTGCATGGAGCCTCAGGCCGAGGGAGATTGACAGTTCTTTTGTGTTTCTTCCATTTGCGAATAATCGCACCAACTGTTGTCATCTTCTCACCAAGCTGCTTGGCAATGGTCTTGTAGCCCATTCCAGCCTTGTGCAGGTCTACAATCTTGTCCCTGACATCCTTGGAGAGCTCTTTGGTCTTGGCCATGGTGGAGAGTTTGGAATCTGATTGATTGCTTCTGTGGACAGGTGTCTTTTATATAGGTAACAAGCTGAGATTAGGAGCACTCCCTTTAAGAGTGTGTTCCTAATCTCAGCTCATTACCTGTATAAAAGACACCTGGGAGCCATAAATCTTTCTGATTGAGAGGGGGTCAAATACTTATTTCCGTCATTAAAATGCCAATCAATTTATAACATTTTCGACATGCGTTTTTCTGGATTTTTTTGTTGTTATTCTGTCTCTCACTGTTCAAATAAACCTACCATTAAAATTATAGACCGATCATTTCTTTGTCAGTGGGCAAACGTTCAAAATCAGCAGGGGATCAAATACTTGTTTCCCGCACTGTACACGCATATGCTTATAAATATACTGACATCATAAATAATTTAAGTGTATAGTATCACGCGGCGGGTAGGAGTGCTTCGTATCAGTAACCTTCAAAATACCAACTAGGCAAAAAATAACAATTTGGTTGACAAATGTTTAATTTTCTTCAGCATTCAACTAAATCATTGTTTAAATCCCACGATTGTTGTAGTGACTGCCACTGAATATTGGAAACCCTGCCTACATTTAGACCCATGCCCGGAGCATTCTCTCTCTCTCTCGAGTGCAGGAATCTCAAGACCCCCCCCCGTGCCCCAACAAAAAATTAAATTACTCGACTTCCGCCACACATTCTGTTCATTAAACAAGCCTAAATTAAAATGGTGCGATAACATCATGGCTAATTCAACAAGCCATTCATCTTGTGCGGTTAATCAATCAAGTTAATCGCAATGTTTCAAAAAATAATGTTCAGGGAATTGTGCATCATGTACGGAGCAGATTGCATTATTAATCCCTCAGCAGCTGATATCCCATGGCTCTTGGTGTGACATTTCTTCTGAACATTGACAGGGGTCAGGGGAAGAAAAAAAACATGAGTGATACAGCATGTCTGTGCTATAACAAGGCCTCCAGATTCTTAAGGATCTCAGAAAAATAAAGCCCAGGGCATCCAAAAAAATCATCTTATCAGCTTTTCATATTTATTCCAAGCAGTGATTTTATTTATTCGTAAGTTTGCACGCGTGCTTCATCAGCGTAGCAATTTCGTACATTTGTGTTCAGGTTGAAATGTGTAGTGTTAATTGCAGACATCTGAAAACTATACAACAGATCACCAAGTGAAAAGATGAAATTATCAATGTGAATCATTGTCTCAGCAAGCTATACAAATAAAAAAATGTAAAAATAATTATTCAGCAACCTTTGATCATATATTTAAAGTAAAGGTGCAATCACTACAATAGAAACATGAAAACATAACTAAATGTGTACTGTACGTAAGAAATGCTTTATAAAAATGTGGAAGTGTTCAGATACTACTTTTTAGTTTTAAAATAAATAGCATTTAAAGGAAATTGTTACATTTGGCATGCATTGTGTAATAATAAATAACAATAATTTGCAAACGCGTGGCTAATGTTCATCTTCTATTTATACTTAGAGCTCTAAAAAAAATAACCCAATGTTGATGGGATTTGTGTTGTCATTGACCTGGTGATATGTCTAAGATGTGAAGATTTCATCAAAAGTAAAAAAACAGATATATAATTGCCAACACGGGAGTACACTATATGCATTTGAGTCATATTATGCTAATTGTCCAAGCTTCTGTCCAACATAAAACATGTTATTAGTTTCATGGTGACTCACGAGCTAAAAGTAACTGCACTTGTGACAGAATAATGTATAAAAAGTTAAACATTATATATTTGATAGATATAAAATGCCTTTTTGTGTTTTATCAGCCTTTTGCAAATTAATGTTTATATAACTAGCTGTGCTACCCGGCTTCGCCCGGGACTTGGATTCACCACGCCCGGCCGCCTTTGTCTCCCCAGTGGCGATGTTCACACACCACACACCAGTTACTCGTTTGATGCTGAGTCGACCAAGGGGAGGCCCAGGACCGGTAAAAATAATCGTCAGCAGTGGTGGCCGTGAGCGGGAATCGAACTCGGGTCGCCGGGTTCGTAGCGCAGCGCGCTCACCACTACACTACAATGCGTTACGCTTCCACATGTGCGGGTCACGTGACAGATTTGACGTCACAGCTCACTTGGCGTGCAAAAAATATGCATTATTGAGCTCCCCCCCCCCCAAAAAAAAATATACAAAAGTGTATTTTTTATAATTTTTGAATGGTGTACAGTCTGGAAAGTACCCACATGGCAAATTTCTTGTTTGTTGCATGTCTGGAAGTACACTAAACATTTTGAACAGACACACATAATCACAACTTTGCCTTTTATATATATGGAGATTAATGCAACTACCTGATACAGCTGTATATACAGTAATTATCCCCACAAAACTGTGGTCATTCATATGACCACAGCGTTTAGAGCATTTGGCTGCTTTACATTGCCACATGATAAGCCACTTGGTTGAGCTGTCTTTTGTGGCCAGGACGTTTCTGAAAAAGAGCTGTATACCACTTCTGAGATACTGGGTTCTGATTCTGGCAGTACACCATGAGTAAACAGGGGTCCCCAATATCATGAGTTGATTGGGGCAACCAAGTAATCGTCAAACTAAATTTGCTTTTAAAGTTCGGGGAAAAAATACCTATTGGTTTGACAGAAAAAATAATTAGAAAGGATTTTTTTTTTAAGTTGCAAACAAGTCCTTCTGCGTGGCCATTCTCAAACAGACGGGATGATGCACTGCTTCGTGTGAATTCCATATCCGTATTCCCTCTCATGGCATGAGGCCGAGAGCACAAATGGAATATAATCGGTAACAGGGCAAAACAATGAGTGGTCTCTCACCTGGTTTAACGGAAAGGTATTGAAGAGACGTGAAGTAATGTCGCCACCATGGGCGCTCACGGTGGTGAGATGTTAACTACCTCGCCCGGTATACAGGAGATCGTTGCTTCGATTCCGACCCTGATGTCTGTATATTTAGAGTTTACATGTTCTCCTTGTGGTCGTGTGGATTTTTTCTACAGGCCCTCCAGTTTGTCCATCCACATTTCGAATGAACATGCGTTGAGAGTATTTGGCTGCTATAAATTTCCACGCGATAAGCCACTTCGTCAAACTGTCATTTGTGGCCAGTTCGCTTCTGAAAAAGAGCTATACAGGTCAGCGGGCCTTATCTGGTTAAAAATAATAATAATAATAATTCCAGTTCAATTACCTGCAGGTGTAGTTCGTAGCTGGGCCCTCTTGGCAAATGTCCCCATGCTCACAGTGCGCTGGAGAGTGGAGCTCCGAGCCCTCCGCGCACACGTCCGTTTGGCACGCGGTCCCCGTGTAGCCCGGCGGAGCACAGGAGCACCTGAAGGCTGTGCTCGAGTCCAGGCAGCTGCCTCCATGTTGACACGGATTTAAGTCGCATTCCTTGGAAACCGGGACATTGCAGTGACAAGGAGCTCTCTGCCTGGCCAATTTTAGATCATCACACAGGGTTGTGTTTTTTTGTTGTTGTTATTGTTGTTGCTGCTGCTGCTGCTGGGAGGGGTAACAGGTTTTTTTGCTTTAGTCTCATACGAAGCTCAACGGTCTGGAACCCACGTACTATTATGCCAGCACACAGGCCTTGGAGAATCAGGAGAATCAAACAGCTCCTGATCTTGGAAGTGTTTAATAAAATCCATCAGCCATTTGCCAACTATTAAGTTATATTATTAAAGAGGCAAAAGAAGTGTATTTGTGTGCTTCTATACTGCAGGTGTGATGGACAGTCACATGATTTTCGAAACATACAAGAATGATTGTGTTTATCCACCCGCTGATGACTGGTTTGCGAATCTCCATGCGTATGTCAACATTGTCAATGCGTCTTCCTTTTCATTACTATTGGTGGATCTGAACTAGTGGTGGAAATCCATCAATGGCTTTTTGGGTCAGATCGTGTGAGTAAGATGTCACAAATTTACCAAGCGGTGTCTGATTGTTAAATCTTGTGGATTGCTCTCCAACACACCGTTTATGTTCAAGCAGTAATACATTGGCACATTTGCTCACGTGACAGCTTTATTAATTGCCTGTATTGAGATAATACTATTATTACGACACACATTTTACTTTCACTATCCGAAGCAAAAATCTATTAGCAATCGCCATCACAATGCTGGTCGTGAAAGCCTACAAAGTGTTACGTTAGGCGGCGAAAATGCCACATCACAATGGTGCAGGACCATTCTCTCATAATGAAAACAACCTATCACTTGCCACAAAGATAACACTAATTTGATTCACAAAAGAGAGATAATGTGCAGATCTACTGATCGATCATACAATCACAAAGTAGGATAAAAGCAGTGAATGAGTTTACTACATTTTGAACACGGTTTTAATAATTGTACTTTACTCTATTCACTTTGGAATCATCTCTTCCAAGAACCTTTGATTTGTGTAACGGCAAAGACCCATTATGGTTATAGATCTTTTAATTATCGGTTAGAATTGGAAAAAAACTACGGTAATTGTGTATTTAAATTAAAATGTAAGTTATTTGCAGATTAACATTGCTAATGCGACATTCTACAGCGTAAGATAAGAACTCAGAATACTGACAAACTGACAGAAGCTAATGCAGTTTAAAATGTGTATTTTAGTATTTAATTGGGTTGTCATTAAAGTATAACATCAACCCCTATACGTCAGCTTTCAGCACTGTAAAACAGTATTAGTTAAAGTCCACTATATGCTAGGACTTGTTTTTATATCACTTTTGTGTCGCTCACATTTATTGTCAGCTCCATTTTTGGAGCTTTCTTAATTAGGTTCTTCATTACAGTTAATTTCAATTGATTGTTATAATGAGTCTCAGTAATTCGAGGACAAAAAAATATATATTCTCCATTCACAAGCGTCCCTTTGATGTCTCCAAGCCGATTGTCAGAACTCGAACGTCACCGTAAATAACTTTGGTGCAAGTGTCCTCGTCTGCCTACCCCTTCTCACGTGATCTGTTGCTTCCTTCTTCACGCAATCTCAGGCTGTAGCTGTTCCATATTTTGATTTAAAGCTTTCGTGACTGCAGGGATTCATATTCTTGGTTCTTTCGGTAAAGGCACGTAGAAGGGAAACAATAAAATAATGAAAATAATAATAAAAATATAAAACAATAAAATTCTCACGACGTTTCGACTGCAACACAAGCAATCATCATCACAAGCATTCATCATCACCTGATTATGATTGCTTGTGTTGCAGTCGAAACGTCATGAGAATTTTATTGTTTTATATTTTTATTATGTTTTATTATTTTATTGTTTCCCTTCTACGTGACTTTACCGAAAGAACCAAGAATATGTTCCATATTTGTAAATGTTTTAGAAACGTACATACTGTACTTGCTGATGTTTATGCCTTGGTCTGTGAGAGTTTAGATGCCCGCATAAAATCCAGCTAATATAAACGCCTTTTCATTATTCACCGTGATGGTATTTGAGATCTAGTTGTCTTTTTCCAATGGTAGAGAAACCTTTCCGAAACCACATTTGATTCGTGGGCCTATACATTTTTTTCTGGTGATAGGTCTGTAATTCTCCAAGTCAGCTTTAGTACCCCTTGCGAACAGACGAATTATTGTGGAATCAATCCATAACTAAGGTATTCAATTTGTGTGTAAATAATAAACAGATTGCTCAACAAGCTAAACAATTCCCGCACCACAATAAGCACGGCTGACTAAGTATGGAGCAAAAGAAGTTCGACATACAGTCACATTTTTCAGAGCTACAGAACTGGAAAACACATCTGAGTACGTATACCTAGGCGGTTATTGAAGGAAGACCAGGATCAAAATGAGTACAGAACTAGGGGGCTAAAGGCCAGTTTAAAGAGGTGTTTTCAAGAAAGGACTAACGATTTTGATTGTCTCATTAGAAAACGCGAAGCCTTCCAAATCGGAATATTTTTATTTACACTGGAGAAATCCGATGAGCTATGAAGCTCTTTTTCACAGATGTCCAGTAGATGTCCAAACTTTGAGAGATGCACAGTGGCAAAGCCCGGTCACCTCTGTGGGAGATAAGCCTTGACCTCGGAGTGTTCAGAAGAAGGCAATCCGAAACTCTCAGGGCTCTCGTTGGAGTGGACAGATGGGTCAGTTGCTATCAACATTGCGGGCCTGACCTATTGAGTGCCTTGTAGGCCAGCAGCAGGACAGATGTGCAGCCAATTAAGGCAAGACATGCTAGAGGACATCTGGCACTGGAGATGGAGAGATGAAAAAAAATCTCATGTGCAGGAGCTTGATGGAATCTTGCATCGCAGGACCATGAGGGATGATGACTGTTTGGCGATGCATTTATACAGCAGTGGATAATGCATGGCTGATGATGACAATTCAGTCGTAACGTATTTATCTCCTATTATGTTGTCCATTTTACAACAATTATAACTGTGGAAACACATTTCATCGAATTTAAATTGTCCTCCGTGGAACTTTCAATGAAAAGTTACCAATGCAGCTGCTTTGGTTTGTATCATTTGTTTAGTGTTGTCCTGATATTGAAAATATATTCTTTTTATTGCACTGCATTATGCAAAAGCTGAAATGTGCAGCGTATTTTTTGTTATTCCATTTTGTAAAGAGTCTTAAACGTAAAGCACAAAATTTAGATGTTGCTGTATATGAACACTTATACCACAGATATCTTACGCCTCCTAAATCCGAGTAAAAAAATATTAACCTGTAACGATCCTCACAGTACATTAATTGTACCACAATTCATAGACACCAGATGGGACGGTATGAAAACAATTGGGCAACTGAATATGACCGCTCTAAATTGGCCTTTGGGGCAGTTATCATTGGTATAATGAGCAACATTAATCCTCGCCAGCAATAAACTGGACACAGTTTATACGAAACTTTCTTCAAAAAACACTTAATTCCTGCTAGAAGCAATAAGTATAATCATTATTTATGTTTGACACAGTGCCCTTTACGCTGGGGCGTCTCAGAGCACTCCGAGCACAATAATCGCCTTGCATCATCACATCTCATCTCAAACAACACCCAGTGACAGCTGCCCCCCCCCTCCCCCCCACGTGAGCACAAGGTGACTCAGCACCTGGCCTACATACAGTTATTAGTCAACCAGTAGAGGGTGATAACTGATATGTGTAAGCCCAAATGAGTGATTTGAGAGGGGTTTTTTTTGAACGTGCCAAATTTCGACCGTGACACCAGTACATAATGCCCTACGTGTTATGAATTACATCAGGGGATCTTTAACTTCCGCTAGCAGATGGCGTGTTTTAATCGTTAATACGTCAGCTGTATTACCCAGGGTGGCTGCTGGACTCAACCACGAACGCACTACTGCTGGGTCATGTCACCACCCCAAAGTGTATGCCATTGCACAGAGGCCCCACTACTCGTATGTGCAATGTTTTACCAAATAATGCAGTTATGCTAACAAAAAGTAAAATAGATGTAGGAATGAATTTAAGTGTTACGGGATATTTTGTCTAATTCATGTTTATCTTTCATACGCATGTGAACTTTGTTGCCAGCCTCGTTTAGAGAATAAAGGTCTATTCACATTTCAGAACCACATGCCCCAAATCACAGCATCCCGGGAACAAGACACCACAGGCTTCTCTGAGTATCTCATACAAGTTAATGATTTAACCTGTTTATGAGCTGTGGATGTGAATATGTGTGTGTGTGTGTCACTTTTATATCTGCAAATTTAGCAAATCCCTCACACCTGGGTATAAACTCATCAAGCGCAAATACCAAATTAGGATGGGATTTTCGTGCCACTATCCGTGACTGGGTCGAGACCATAAAACTAACTGCGCATGATGACCTTTTTGACCTTTTCAGGGCATGGGGGAAGGTTGAGGAGAGGAGAGGCTCGTTTTCTGATATTGAATGACCCCTTAAAATGAGCACACCAGCCATACTTACATTAATGTCAGCGTCACACTGCACGCCTGTCCATCCGGGTTCGCACACGCATGTGAAATGTCCCAATGCATCGATGCACCTTGCAGCGGGGAAAACGTTGTTCGATGAATATACATTCTCGAAATTAAATTCATTCTTATTTTTTAACTCGAAGGTTAAACAGAGCTCAGTGACTGGGTGAAAGATCGTGGAAGGTGATCAATGCTTGTATGGACTGTCAAAGACTTGCGGTAAGGTTGTGCAGACACCTCATTCTCCTCAAAGCTGTCTGGCAAAGTCTGGAAAATCAGTCCACCTTCCTTGCAAATAGGTGGTGCCTCTGTCCACAGCAATACAAGGGTGCTTCAATAAGGTAACAGGCAAAGGTTTGATCTTAGAGAAGACTTGTGGGCACTAACATGAAAGATTAATTCTCTACAGTCAAATTATACGAAAAGTACAATTGTCCCAATGGGCCACAATTTTCCTAATGTCAGCAGCAAAGACATCGTTTGGATGATCTGTAAGCCACAAGAAGTGCCGCTACTTCTCAACATGAGCGAGCTTGGCTAGAGTTGAAACATCTCATCCTGATTGGTGTTCTGCCTATTTGTTAATATTGAAACGATTTTGTACAATTGTGACCCATGTTACAGCTTCATTCTTGGCCAAATTCCACGAGTCTTTACACCGTCAGAGAATAACAACAAAAACAACGAATAGCAACTTGCCGCTCTTCTAATCTGCAGTTGTACAAAGGCACCATGATTTTAACTATGTGATATCCTTCTGCCACCTAGAGGCAAAATCTGGAGAAAAATATATTGCACACGATTATCAGGGTAATACCTATTCACTGCACATGCATTATATATTTGCAGATGACACGGACAAAGTTTACAGGATTATTAACAATCTTAACTTTTTTTTAAACGCCTCATACTAGCACGTGCAACAAGTTTAGGCTTAACAACTTCTCCTTATCTTCCGCCCAAGATGGCATGTTTACATCCATCCGAATTGTTTTATCAGTACAGCAATTATCTTCCCAGCACCCTCTTCTCTAACTTGTACCTTCCCCTTAAAAATATGGTTTATCTTTCTCCATGATCTCATAACATGCATGTCTTGTTTTACAGACAGCATCTTGAGATCTGGTTACGTTTGAGGCTTTATATAACCACGTCTTTTGAACAGCAGCGAAGATGTAGAATCTATGTATAGCAGATCTGTAGACTCACAGGTGGATGGTTGTGAGTTCAAATCTGAATCAGGGATCAACTCTGCCCATCATCCACACAAAGTTGACGCAATGATTACCACGTTGTATGAAGTCCACAGTGGTTATCCTATGGATATATTAAACCGGTCTTTTCCATGGAAATGTGGAATATCCACCATGGTTCAGGGCCACCAGTGCAGCAATACCACTATTGCACCTTTGAACTTGGGAGACACTTGAGACTTTGATCGAGTTCACACTTATTGTATTGCGGTTAAGGCGCACCTCATGTTGGCTATGCATACACTTCTACAAACCCGGCTATCCGAGCTGAATTCTGCAACATTATTGGTGAGTGATATCTGGCCGGTCCTGCCTACATACCCACTCCCCCTAACAACACCTACGACACGTTTTAGGAGGCCTTCATTCAGTGCAGGAATTAAATGAAACCGAGGTGCAAATAATGTGTCTGAGCATTTGGATGTAACAATAAAACCATTTATTGATCTTCATTGCAGCTTTGTTTCCTATTTTTGGCTGCCTCTGAGTGATAACGCTCTATTTTTGGGATTCCCGAATAAACGCCGCTCAAGTTTGTGCTGTGAGCCACAGGGCGGGTTGCCAAAGTAAAAAAAAATAAGAGAGACAGAAATAAAAGAGTATCCCTCCTCTCCGAGGTTTATGGAGCATTGCGAGCTCGATGGTCACAGTGTAGTCACAAACGACCGTCTCCAGCAGGATTCTGCAGTGGCCAGCCGTGGAGTGCGAGGTCAGCAGTCGGCACTCTTTTGAGGCAGAGTCAAGGATGGCAGCTCACTTTGCCCCCCCCATGTCACCTCGCAGATGAAACCCCCTCTAGGCTAACCGCCATTTCTCACTCCAGCCCAGGACCTGAGTTGTACCACAAATGTAAACCTGGCTGCTTTGTGCCATCTCATTTGTATTGCTTGTCCGATCATCTTTGTACAGTTAACTCCATTAGCCTAAATGTAACATGAGTATTGTTTGAAATAATTTAACCACGTGTGGGCACAATTTTACGGATTAATTTAGAAAAAAATAAGATTTATTTTGATTGAATCGTTATGTGCCTTACTGCTGCCATCTTGGTTCCTGGATGTTTCGTTATATTTCTCTTCTTGAGATATATATATTTTTATTATTGAACACGTACTCTTGGCAAAACAACATTATTGAAAATTTGACGTGCCTAATTTTAATGTCATCCTGCTATAAAAGATCCATGCCTCAACGATCAACACAGTTTAACGGCAGCATACATCAAACGGTAATAAAGGATCAACTTCTACCCATGCTTTGGGAGTCCCATTGCCACAGCGCAGGGAGGACGCGACGCTTCATCATCTCGGCTTGCAATATAGGAGCCCAGCCAAGAGACGGGGTTGGGGGGGGGGGGTGGTAGGGCGGGACAGGGGGAAGCGCAACTCACCGGCCGTTCCGGCACGGCTCAGAGGCACACACGTCCGCGTGGATGCCGCAGCGAGCGCCCGTGTAGCCGGGGAGGCACTGGCACGAGTAGCCGCCGCCGCCCGGCCGGTTGGCGCACGCCGATTGGTGCAGGCACGGGGTGGACGCGCACTCGTCTACGTTCTCGTCGCACAGCGCCCCTGAGGAGGGAGCGTGAAAGCAGCAGCAGAAGTGCCAGCGGCAAGGCAGAGGTGCTTGGTGACTTTGGGTGCCCCCCCCCCCCGCCGCCGCCGCCCCCTCCCCCCCCCACGACTCTTCTATTTCCTTGAATATTCGGTATTCGAAATTCACCTGGGCGATCATAAAAAAAATGTTTATGACCTTTTTGTCATATAAAATATTTGTTTATTCCACATCCTCTCTCACATCATACATTGCAACATGCTGACATTCCGGCCGGTATTGCCATGGGCATTGATGGTATCAGGGGGGTTGGCCAGGTCATTGCCGTTCTGGGTTCAGATATCTAAGACTGGTCTAAGGTTTAGGAATGGACCCCATGTTCGTGTGGTGACTCACAATTTAAAAATAAGTACCACTTTGTGGGAAAGGCAACAGCAAGAGTGCTATTGATGAACTGACCCCTGCTGCCATTGTATTGTGGATAAGAACGCGGGACGTTGTGTACACAGGACCGCATGTGCACCTCGACAGGCAGCTGTCTCGTGCGATGCATTGTGGGTTGGGTGACTGTGTGATCAATGCTACTCGATTTCACTTTGTGCACCTTAATTTTGGAACGTGCCTAAGGGAAACCCGTATTTGAAATTTCTCGAATTAAGACATAGCTTAGAAACAAAGGCTCCAAAAATGTGTGCATTATTTTTACTTTGTGAAACCTTTACATTCACAATAATCCATGGCAGTTGACATGCCAGTTTTGCAGAACAATTAAAGCTTAAGTGAGTCATAGACTCTTGCAATTTTGCTGCCATTTTTTCTATAAGTATACTTTTTGGCAGTTTCACATTAAGTATGAGTACTTTTTTGGCATAAACTACATCTGTTCGTGCAGAAAAAGCACTCACGTAGAACAAAATAGCAAATACTTTGCACACACATAAACCTACCATGTGCTTTTGTGTATGCATAGTTGAGTTCCTAACACTGACCAATAGTGGCCAGAAAATTGGCAGCATTTTCCTTAGCTCACTGAGCAAGACCGTAATTAAATGATTGAATGAAAAGATGTGTGGAGACGAGGCCAGTAGTGGCTGGTAAAGTAAAAATAATAATGAAAAATGTGATTCTACATGCTTTTCCTATGGTTTCTGATTCCATTCATGAGAAAAAAAGTAACCTTGGAAAATATTTACATCATGGGACCTCCTTTGCCAGTACCAAAATATAAGAATAGGTTTTCCTCCTTTTTTCTGGCAATTTTTTTTAAACCTTTTTACAAGGAATCATGTCTGCATTAACCACAATACTTGTGGTCAGAATGCAAACAAAAAACATACTCTGATAATATATGCATTGTCCTTGAAACTGATTGGCCCACACCAGAGACAGCTTTCTCTTGAGCCTCGTCGTGCACAGGACCGCCAAAAGGCATCCTCTGGTCTAGCGCCTTTTGGCGTCCTCTGGTCTAACGCCTTTTGACGTCCTCTGGTCTAACACCGTTTGAGACGAGGCTCAAAAGAAAGCTGTCTCTGGTGTGGACCAATCAGTTTCAAGGACAATGCATATATTATCAGAGTATGTTTTTTGTTTGTGTAGTGAGTCCAACTCAGTCGCAGACATTGGTCCTTTTAGAGGCAACACATTTATTTGTAACACGTAACACAAAGGGGTAACTGCCCCTTCACCAGATACAGCCTAGGGTGGTGGCCACCCAGCTAATTACGCTGTACAGAGGAGTTACAGCTACGAAGGGTCGGGCCCTCACTCGGGTCCGCGACCACGTGTTGATGCCTCGTAGGACGTAGAGCTTCCAGCATGAGACGTAGAGCTTCCAGCTTGTAGGATGCAGCGGCCCCGGTCTCTCTTCGGGACCCGCCTTATATCCCCCCTACGGGTCGGGGCCGCTCCGCCCCTGGCCCCGCCCGCCTTCTGGAGCCTTCTAGCTCTCCCTCTGGAGCCTTCTAGCTCTCCATCGATCCCTCTCGAGAGCTCTCCATCGATCCCTCTCGAGAGCTCTCCATGGACACGTGATCACCACCTAGTCCCCCCACCTGGGGCCCTCTCTATGGACACTCCGGATCACGTGTCTGCAGGGTCAACCAGGGTGCTATGGCCCGAGGCAACCCTGTCCTTGGGCTGACACCCTCCTGCTCCCCCTCGTCGGAGACTGCACTGCACGCTATGCCTCGTGCCTGCGCTATCCCAGCACTCACCAAGCCCCGCTAGGGCTGGTACTACACCCACCACGCGGTGTACGCGATAACAATGCATCGCACGCCACGGCCCTTGCGGGCCGGCACCATACAGTGACATTGTCACTACATCTGCATTCTGATCACATGTATTGTGGTTAATGCAGACATGATTCCTTGTAAAAAAAAAAGTTTCAGATTTGTTGCCAGAAAAAAAGGAGAAAAACCTATTTTTATACTTGGAAACCATTCTTGAAATAAAGCCACCCTCAGTCAAGACTCCACAAACAAACATGCTCGACTACATTACGCGCCATTGCTATCAACAAAGCACAATGTTCACCTCAAACACCCTCACCTCTTCACACCTGCCAACACCAAACAATACAATAAACAATAATTCTGTAAACTATAATTTGTGGGCACCATGCTACTGTTCTTCATTTTGTACGGCTGCTGTTGACGTGGAGCTATAATTTTACACTAAAGTGGTTTAGCCAGATAGTTGCGTCAGGAGTAACGGAATGGTGCATCGCTCTGCTGATGCCTCCTTCATCTATGTGTAGTGGCATCCTGGGATGCCACTACATGATGCGTGAGCCGGGCTGTGTGTATCAAGGATGGATGGCATTGCACTTCACGTGCAGTGCCAGCCTCCAGAGGATAGGGGGGGAGAGTGCCAGGTATTGTGGAAGGGTTCACAGGGGGACGTGGCACTATGTATGAACCCGGAGGCCTGGTGACCGAAGGTACCAGCCCAGGGGCGCCCGGGACCAGGACCAGGTCCCTCTCGAAGGCTCGAGAAGGGAGGCGTGGCTAGGGGCGGAGTAAGCCCCGGGACTGACAATATAAGCCAGACCCCTGAACGGGTCCGGCTGCTGTTGTACACCTGAAGACCTGAAACCGTCACCCTGAAGAGCAGCCCTGAAGACAAGACCCGGACCCGAGTCGGGGTCCGGTCTCTGATAGCCTCCCCAGTTGTGTTAGGGCCTCGTTAGCCCGGAGGGACTACCTCCTTAGGTTACCTGGTGGAAGGGGCAGATACCCCTTTGTGTTAGGGCTTTTGTTATTGTTATTATGAACGTGTTGCCTCCAGAGAAGTCTCTCTCTCCATTTGTACCCACTACATATGTGAATCGGGCATTGAGTCGTTCGTTATTTCATGGTCTCTTCTGGGTGACCACAGTCACACACCTGAGGATTTTTTTTGTTTATTTTCTATTCGTGCATCAAGTATCCACATATACTGCTATGGTTTGTTTGGATATGGTTTAGGCTCGCTCATAAGCTTCGCCGAAGACGGAAGCTACCATGTCACTTACGCGCTCTAAAATCTGCAATGGCCCAGTATTGTCTTAGTGCCATTTTCCCGTACAATGTAGGATTTTTTTTTATAAAATTTGTTTGATAATCATCTAAAATGGAAGACCAATTAAGCTGCACTATCTATTTTCCGAAAGTATGGTTAATCATAAAAAATACCTAATATTGTTAGCCAATTTATTGCAGGGCAATGAAACAAAAATCAGAATCTGGCTGCCGCATGCACAAATCAGCTTAACTCTTGGGAACAATGCCACTGGATATTTAATGTCCATTTTATAGCTAACAGCTGCAGAAACAGAACTCGAGATGTCTACAAACGTTTGGGTACAAAAAACCCTAATCACATGAGTTTTTAGTCCAAGGGGTAGACAGATGACTCGGGATCAAAGCAATGAGCCAGCACTTTGAGATCTTGGTTTTGAGTCATCTGCCCAGCCACCTGTGATTAAACCACTTTCTCAAGCATAGCGAGTTGAATTTTTATTTAAAGCTTTCGTGACCGCAGGGATTCATATTCATATTCTTGGTTCTTTCTACGTGACTTTACCGAAAGCACCAAGAATACATAGCGAGTTGATGATCTCATTCTGATTATCAGCGACTGTTTCATTTTACATTCTTCCGCGGGGTGTTCTCGAATGCGGGTTGGTGCACCGCTCTGAATGTTCTGAATGAACCCTTTAACTCGTGACACGACACCGACAGCACATTTGGAATAACAATTTGTGGGGCGAGGGGGGCAGAATAAATTAAAAGAACGCTCATCTACCGCTCCCTCCTGCGAAGGTTTTCTGGCTTGGTTGGGAAGTTGGGATTGTGTGGTCTGGCATGTGACCTAATGGACTCATTTCTTTGTTTCGTTATTGCTTAATTTATTTTTCATTTTAGATTTTGCTTGGTAGTACGGTTTTCATTTGCTTTGTATGTAAGCGTGTGTGTGAGTGTGTGTTCTTTTGCACCGTACTTACCTCCGATTAGCACAGTTGGCTATGTGCGGTGCGAAATAAATTCAATATACATAAATACATAGCCAACCGCATATATGGGATTTTTTGCTTATATATAATTAATGTACAGCGTTGTGGGATGCTGTTGGCATGAATGACTATATCAAATGAAAGTATTATTGTTATACATGCAAATACTCAACAGTATCATGAATAATAAAATAATAACTGACCAACTGGCACTGTGGGGAAAAGCACCCTACTCACAATCTGAAGGTTAATAGCTCAAATTATCGCTGATGGTTGGCTCACCAAATCATATACCCAAGGTTGTTAACATTAATAACTTGATCGAGAGTGAACACTGGCTTATCCTACCAAGACATTGGAATAGAGTATTGAATTTCCACGTCTGGCTCAGAAGAGATAATAACAGTTGATCACCAGCCAACACGCTTTTAAATTTGGGAGCCCACTTTGATTTAGAATTTTGACAATACCTTCCAAGGCACATCAGAGTGCATGTCCCCTATATATGTGTACAGCATCTTG